TACTCATGAGGTGAATGCTACTCTTCTGTTGACTTCTTTACCTGATAGTTGGGAAATGACAAACACGGATGTGTCTAATTGGTTAGAAGCTAATAGCGTTAAATTTTTGTAGATTTGTGATGTCGTAATTGCTTAGGAGATTCGCACAAAAGAGAGTGGAAATTCTGCATCCACTTTTTGTTTTGGCACTTCTTCGAGATCAGCAATGGTGGTCAGCATAAAGGTCAGGAAAAGGTTGAGTATGAAGACATATAGCAAGGACGTAGCAGGAGGAGTGGGAATGGAGAGATTGAATGTTTTTATTGCCATAAGAAGGGTCACTACAAGAGACACTATAAGAATATGAAGGAGGATTTGAAATAGTTAGATGTGAATGCAAATGTGGTTGTGCATGATGCTCTCATTTGTGTTGGGAGTAACATAGAACCGGCAGACGAGCGATCAGACTAGGTAGTGGACAGTGCAGCTTTAGTAAACATCTCTTCAACTAGAAGTTTGTTCACATCCTTCACTATAGGCAACTATGGCATCGTGAGGGTGGGAAATGGTAGGCTCTCCATGACTAGAGGAATTGGAGATATTAGTCTGAAGATCTACAGTGGGACTAAGTTGGTTTTACATGACGTTCGGTATGTACTCAACATCAGATTAAATTTAATATCTGTAGGGAAGTTTGATGTTGATTGTTACATAAGGGAGTTTGCATGAAACGCATGGAAACTCACTAGAGGATCCGAGTTGGTGGCTATTGGCCACAGAACATCTGCAGTGTGCGCAACGAGGTTTTATGTTGTCAAAGGATCTGAAAGACAAATAATGCATAGAACTACAGATGGTTTATATGGAGACAAAATAGAACCAGCAACATTGACAACCAGGATAGATCCATCTATTCAAGTTCAACAATTGGGAGGTTAGGAAAAGAATAAGGAAAAGAGTTCAGTTGGTAGTCGGGTGACAGCCACCATTGTTAGACGATTCAACTGATTGATGAAGTCGCATAGGTGAAAGGATGAATCGAAGAGGAAGACTACAATTGGTGCTGAGGTCGAGGTTGGAGTCTTTAGCTTAGTAACAAACTTGAAGAGGTTGGAGTCATTCAACAAGAATAACTTGGAAACACAAATAAACATCAATAGTGTCATTGCGCTGTAACGATTATTGAAATACAAGAAATTTGCAATTTGGGGTTGTAAGAGTGGCACAAATTATAGGGGTGACAGCAGAATTCTTGTTGGGGAGAAGAGAGCAAGTTTTCGAGCTGTACAGTGTTGTCGGCAACCTACTCTTGTAGCGGTGAGGTTTTTTTATCTTGTATTCCTAAGTACCTATTACTGTATTGCTTAGAAGCTAGGTGAAAATTATTGAGGCATCTAAGGAGAGCTTTATGGAGCGTCTGTGAGGCCCATTGTAATATTCCAAATCATAGTAGAATTCGCACATTGCGAAACAACTAGATGTAGCATGTGCTTTGGATGAACCAATATAAATTTCTGTGTCGTTTTATCTCTCTCTCATATTACTTTCTTTTGTTATTTATCTGAGACTTACTCAAAACTGTATAAGGGGGAAAATCATTGGTAAAATTTGTTGGGTAGCTTGTGTTAGAGGACTAGATTTCCAAACATTCTTGATCCCTTAAATAACAAAATCTACATTTAAAGACATGTAGTATTTGATGAAGAATGCTTTCCCTTTAGCAATGAAATCTTTAACAACACAATCAAGAATGGTTTTCCTCTTTTTGTCATTGATTTTGCTGGAACAAATGAAGCATCGTCAAAGAGGAAAGTCACTAACACATCAGCCATCGAAATGAAAGGAGTGACATCACGATTGAAGAATATCATAACACCAATCAAGGTATTGATTCATTCAACAAGAATAACTTCGAAACACAAATAAACATCTACAAAAGAAGCTGAGCAAAATAACCAAACTGCTCAACAAATTAGGAAAAACCTGAATCATGTGAAAGATGGTGAGATCATCATAATAGAACCTGAGTTTTGTTAAGGATCCTACGTTGAAAACAAAATAGATCTTACAAAGGTTTATAATATACACGGACTACTCCTCTTATTGTCAATTGATTTTGAGATAGAGCCCATGAATATTGATTTGGTATCAGAGTCCAAAAAACTTAAATGAACATTCGGTTCAATAGTTATGTGTTGTTAGAAACTGTTTCAATTGTATAAATACTAGCAGCGAATATTTAACCGCTATAAAAAAATTACAGTGGTAGACACGTTTTCCATGTGGTGTGCAGTGCTAATATCATCGCAAACATCCACAATAAGCCATTAATAAATATCTTCAACTAAAAATCATTAATTCATCATGATTGTCGTTTTTAACACTTATTTGTAATTTTTCACTTTCACATACAATGCAGAAGACATGTTACCAACACCAACATCATTAACAAATTAAACTTCATCACTCCATAAAAATTTATGAAGAAGAAGATTCAAACAATTTAGGGGCAACTTGAGATATGGCAAAAAAAAGTTAGGAAAATAAGCAAAATAGCAACAAGATTTGGGTATTTCAAATATAGCATTTTTTTTGCAAAAAAGCAGAGGCCCACGTTCTAAATTACAAACATACCCTACAAGCCCGAACCAACAATAAATTACTTCTGATTGACTTCTGATATACTAATGATTGACAGATATACTCCTGATATATATGTGATATATGTTTGATATACATGATATATATGTGATATATGTTTGATATACATATGGTATGAAATTAATTTACTTCTGATATAACTATGATATCTACTACTATAGGTGACATAGAATTGACTGACTTCTGATATACTATTCATTTACTTATGATATAACTATGATTGACAAATATACTCCTGATATATATGTGATATATGTTTGATATATATATGATATGAAATTGATTTACTTCTGATATAACTATGATATCTACTACTATAGGTGATATAGAACTGATTGACTTCTGATATACTATTGATTTACTTCTGATATAACTATGATTGACATATATACTCTTAATATATATGTGATATATGTTTGATATACATATGATATGAAATTGATTTACTTCTGATATAACTATGATATCTACCAATTATTTCGAACATATTACCTCTAATATATGTTTTCTGATCTACTACTAATATATGAAATAACTTTTTTTTTCAAATAAAAGCAATGGTACAAACACGAAAAATGAAATAAAAAAACATCGTCGAAAATATTGATGTCGTTCGTCCCAAAAGACAACATAAACCAACGTCAAAAGTGTTGTCTATGGAAAAACGGAAAGCTTCAAAGATATTATCTCCGAAGACACGATAATCACCAAGAATGAAGATTAATGTCCCAAGCTTTTACCTAAAGATTATACAAGAATGAAACTTACGTTTTTCTAGACGATTGGAACTTATGCTTCTGGAACTTATGCTTCTTCTTTTGTAGAATTTTAAGAATGACATTGTTAGTCTACTTTTGGTTTATGATACTGGTTCGTTTTAATGTCTAAACCTTTAAGTTTTTTGTTGAAGGACTTTGCTGCTGATTTGATGTTGATGTTGATACCCAAGAAATATGTTTAAACCTTTTAAGAATGACATTGTTGTTGATTTCATTTTGATCTTTAAAACTTTAAATAAAAATTAATTGCACTATTGATATATGTACGATGTATACTTGATATATCACTGATATATTATTGATATACAGAAAAATCCTAAGTTTCTATTTACCTCTAATTTCTAATTGATTTCTCATTCACAGTAATTTCGAAAATCACCATTGACGTTCACATTCACCTTCCTTTCAAGTTTTCTTTCTCGTTTTCAGTAAGTATCAGATTTTTTTCTCATTTTCCATGCATGTCAATACCTAATAATTTATAATTGATCAAAAAAATACAAGACAAATGGTTAAAGTAGGTAAAATAGTGATTTACTATTATACAACTGATATAGAACTGATTGACTTCTGATATACTATTGATTTATTCTTCTGATATATTAATGTTGTCAGATATACTCCTTATATATATGTGATATATGTTTGATATATAATAACGAAGCGATAACTAAAAAGGGTAATTTGGGAATACTGAAAATTTTAAAATCAGGACTTTCAAAAAAA